TCCTTTGGAATGCCTGGGTTAGGGCTGAATCCCCTCGTCCCCCGCAAGGCACCGCGCGTGGAGCCCCGGGGAGTGACGATCCGGGGGTGGGTCCCTGCTCCTGCCCAGATTCTGGAACCTGGGTGGTTGGCCTGTGTGTCTTCTCGGAGCTTTTCTGTCACTGTTCTCTGCTCACTTATCCCTCAGTTCACTTCTGTCAAAATTTATCTTCAGGGTTGAGGCACGTGGGTGCCTTCCGACTTCAGCTCAGGTCGTGATCTCACAGTTTGTGAGTTCAAGCCCTACAATGGGCTCTGTGCTTCAGATTCTGTCTCTCACCACCAACCCCCCGCACCCCCGCCCAGCCCCTTCTCCTCTTGTCTACATGCACATTCCCTCCCTCTCAGAAATAATAAATGAATAAACTTAAAAAAAAAAAAAAGAATTGATCTTCAGGGTTTGGTGGGCTTACCCCCAGCCCCACCCGGCAGTGGCAGTGAGGTTGGGATCAGCTTCCATTCTCCGCTCTTCCAGAATCTTCCATCCCTCACCAAAGCCACCGCTTTTCAAGGTGTGTGGACTGAGGTTACATTCCTTCCTTCATCAGCTTGCTTTTTGCTGCTGAAAATCATCCTGGCTTTTAACTTTCATCTCTGGTTAGGAAAGCACAATTCCCTGATCGAATTTTGTTCTGCTGTCTTTATCTGGAAATCTTGCGGTGAGCTTTTTTAAAAAATGAAAGCTAGGAAAAACAAAAACATTCCTAGACCCAACCCTGGACCTTCCATTTCAGAGGGCCTGGAATGGAGCCCAAGTATCTCCTTTTTAAAAAGCCTCTCCGTGGTTCTTCGGATCAACCAGGTTTACATCCCGTATCCTTACGAGAGGATTATAGTCTTTCCCTTGCCTTTTCATTAGCCCGTCTGAAGAGCAAGGTTAATATACAAAACACTTAAACATTTCTCAGAAAGACCCCTATAAATTTATAGATGCTCCTTGCGGTTCATTTTCTTGCTTGTTTGTTAAAATAACCTCATACGAAATAGGGCAAGAAAGCCCATCTCCAGAGAATGCAAAGGAAAGTTGATCTTTTTTCATAGTGGTCCCCGAGAGAAATATCCTGATTTCCCTTCCAGACCTCTTAAGCTTTTAGTTGTCTGCTGGCATTCATAGAGTGAATTATTCATTGTGCTTTTAAGAAGCATTTTGAATGCTGTCTATATATGCTAAGGTGGTCAAAGTGATACTCATTCATTACGATTTGATGGGAGTTTTTAAACTTTTTAAAACTTTTTAATGTTTTATTTTATATTAGAGAGAGAGAGAGAGAGATTGTGTGTGTGTGCTCAAGCAGGGGAGAGGCAGAGGGATGGAGATAGAATCCGAAGCAGGCTCCAGGCTCCAAGCTGTCAGCACAGAGCCCGACACGGGGCTCGAACTCACGAGCTGTGAGATCATGACCTGAGCCGAAGTCAAACGCCTAACTGACTGAGCCACCCAGGCTCCTCTCAACTTGATGGCTTTTACATGCTGTCACCCACAGCAGTTTGTCACTCATGGTCTTTAGTCCTGTTTAGGAGGCTGGTAAAAAGGAACTATAAAGAATGCCGCTTTTACCTGGATATAGTCAAGCTATGTTTCCTTCAACCAGATAGGAAATTTAAATTATTTTTATGATGGCTTAGGACTGGAAACTAAAAAGAAAATGTGGATTTCAATAAACCTTTAAAATAACAGTTTTGAAAGAATTTTTATGTAAGATGTGAATTTAGAAGTGGTATTTTCCACTTATAATTTATTGTGAACAGAAGACATGGCTGATATTTAAAACCCTGCATTAAAAATATTTCACGTGGGGGCACCTGGGTGGCTCAGTCTGTTGAGTAGCCAACTTTGGCTCAGGTCGTGATCTCGTGGTTCGTGAGTTCGAGCCCTGCGCCGGCTCTGTGCTGACAGCTCAGAGCTTGGAGCCTGCTTCAGATTCTGTGTCTCCCTCTCTCTCTACTCCTCCCCTGCTCATGCTCTGTCTCTCTCTGTCTCTCAAAAATAAATAAACATTAAAAAAAAATTTCACATGCAGCCAATAGGTTTTTACTACTCCAGTCTCCCAGGTTTGCTGAAAATAAGCTGTTGGCTGTGTAGTCACCTGCTCTGTATGTGTCCCCCTTTCATCCCTGCTGCCTGTTAAGGAGAACACACTGTTTTTTACTAAATCTCTCTTTTAAGGAATGATTGTGCTCAAACCAGCTCAACGATCTGTGCTGTGCTTTTAGCAGACAAGGTTTCCCTCTTTTGCATTCGTTTTTTCTTTAAACCACATTTTAATTTTTTATTTAATTTTATTTTTTTTAATGTTTTTTAAATTTACTTTTGAGAGAGAGAGAGAGAGCTGAATCAGGGAGTGGGGGACAGAGAGAAAAAGAGAATCCCAATTAGGCTCCAAATGAAAGCAGCAAGCCTGATGCAGGGCTCAAACTCATGAACTGCGAGATCATAGTCTGAGCTGACCTCGGACTCTCAACCACTGAAACACCCAGGTGCCCCTATTTTATTTTTTATCTTCAAAGACCTTAGTTTTAAGCAGTCTCCATGCCCAGCATGAGTCTTGAACTCATGACCCGGAGATCCAGAGTCACATGTTCTAATGACTGAACCAGCCAGGCGCCCACCCCACCCCCATATCTTCATTTTAAATTTCAACAATCAATATTCTAGCGGATGTTACATATCCCCCTCGAATTTCCAAACTTGAAGGGGCAACAGAGGTCATTTCATCCATCCTCCTTGGACTTACAGATGAAGAGCTGGACACGCAGACTTGCTCATTCGGTTGCCTGGGCTCACGCCATCCCAGAGCGAGGTCCTTTTTACTGAAGTCCATGGCCTCACCCCATCCTGTAGCACCTGTTAGAGATGAGGTCACATCCACTTTGTATGTGAAATGTACCCTGATCGAAATTGTAAGCTTACGATGGCACATTTTCTTCTGGGCGAACCCGTAGATTCAGGGGGCACAGAAAAGAAATACAGTGTGAGATGAAAAGAGGAATACGGATGAACAGGAATACGTGCTGTCGGGCGAGGGCCCCCAGCGAGGCCCATTCGTCAGCCTAAACCAGCCAGTGAGATGCCCATGAGCGGGTTCTCTTCTTTCACATTTGCCTCCTGGATTTTGTGTAAATTTAAGCGTGTCGGCCGTAGAGATGATCTGGGTTGGTGACCGGAGATGAGATCAGGAAGAGAGATGGGTGGGTGTCAAGCTCATCGGAGTTTGTTCTGGTGCAGAGCTGCTGTGCAGCTTGAAAGCTCTTCTAGTGAAATGTCTTAGCATGAACACCCCCGAATATTGCCTCCACTTCCTTCAAGAAGATTTTCTTCCCTTTTCCTCCCCTTTTCATTAGCTCTTTGGAGGGGCAGCCACACAGCCTTGACAGCATGCGCTTGGCACTTGGATTTTTAATTTGAACATTTGGACACAATCCACAGGCTTTCCATGGCCTGAGGGTAATAATGTTCAGTTGCAGATGATCACGAAGGAACAGTGGCCTGGTAGGGACCCCCCACCCCCACCCCGCACCTTGGCTCAGTGCTACAGATGAAAGTGACTACACGTATATACAGGGTCTGTCCTCTCCGATTCAGGCCAGGTTTTAACAGTCAGGTTGACATCAGCTAGCGCGCCCCCTCTGTTCTTTTTTTTTTTTCTTTTTTTAACATTTTTTAAATGTTTGTTTATTTTTGAGAGAGAGAGAGACAGAGTGTGAGCAGGGGAGGGGCAGAGAGAGAGGGAGAGAGGGAGACACAGAATCCGAAGCAGGATCCAGGCTCTGAGCCATCAGCACAGAGCCCGAAGCAGAGTTCGAACTCACAAACTGTGAGATCATGACCTGAGCCGAAGTCGGATGCTTAACTGACTGAGCAGCCCCCCAGGTGCCCCTGCCTCTCTCTGTTCTCATTTGCCCTACCTTTGAGGTAAAAGGTTCAAAGCTATGGGAATCCTTCGAGGCAGGAGTATCATCACACATGTTGAAAGATGGAAGGCAATAGAGGCGCCTGGCTGGCTCAGTCGGTGGTACATGTGACTCTTGATTTTGAGTTCATGAGTTCGAGCCCCACATTGGGTGTAGAGATTACTTTTATTTTTTTTTTAATTTTTTTTATGTTTTTTTATTTATTTCTAGGAGAGAGAGACAGCGTGAGCAGGGGAGGGTCAGAGAGAGAGGGAGTCACAGACTGAAAGAGGCTCCAGGCTCTGAGCTGGCAGTCAGCACAGAGCCCGACGCGGGGCCCGAACCCACGAACCGCGAGATCATGACCTAAGCGAAAGTCGGACGCTTAACCGACTAAGCCACCCAGGCGCCCCTAGAGATTACTTTTAAAAAAGGAAGGAAATGGGGCACCTGGGTGGCTCAGTCACTTAAGCTTCTGGCTTCAGCTCAGGTCATGATCTCACGGTTTTGGGGTTTGAACCTCCCATTGGGCTCTGTGCTGACAGCTCAGAGCCTGGATCCTGCTTTGGATTCTGTGTCTTCCTCTCTCTCTGCCCCTCCCTTGCTCTTGCTCGCTCACTCGCTCTCTCTCTCTCTCTCAAAAATGAATAAATATTGCGGCGCCAGGGTGGCTGTCGGTTAAACGTCCGACTTCAGCTCAAGTCATGATCTCACAGCTCATGGGTTTGAGCCCCGTGTCGGGCTCTGTGCTGACAGCTCAGAGCCTGGAGCCTGTTTCAGATTCTGTATCTCCCTCTCTCTCAGACCCTCCCCTGTTCATGCTATCTCTCTCTCTCTCTCTCTCTCTCTCTCTCAGAAATAAATTTTATAAAAAAAACATTAAAAAAATTTTTTTAAAGAATAAATATTTAAAAAAAATTTTAAAGGCAGGAGATTTCAGCTGTGGACATGTTGTGATTTTTTTTTAACTTGTAAAGAAAAGCACTGACTTCATCTTTCATTACTGATTTCTTTTTTTTTTTCTCCGTCATCTTTCTATAGAAGGTCACAAGTCTTGCATTTTTGTTTTAGGAACCTTGCAAAGAAATACCAACCTAAAAAGAACTCGAAGGAGGAAGAAGAATACAGGTCTGTTTAACCTCGATAATTACGTGGTGACATCTTTATGCCAGTGGTGATGATGGTGACGGAAAGAAAAAGTGAAATCAACAAAATCAGCTGCCTCCCCCGCTCTATTTGTGTTACTTTTCAAAGTGGGCGGAACAATAAAAACCCTACTCAACTAAAGTTCCTTTTCCTGAGGCACGACACCTAGTCCACATTGTTTCAATTAAGGTGATTGGGAAAAGCTTAGCATATAATCTGCGCAAATACAGGAAGTGCGGATTATGTGTTTCACATTCTTGATTTCGTTTTGTAATATCAGGAGTCTCTTCCATCCAGAAATAGGTTCATTTCAGGCAGTAGCTAGGGCACCCTGCCAGGGGGGGACCCCAAAGCATTACGTCTCCAATTTGGACCTAAATATCCACTGCATTAGTGCATACAGCAGGTCTAAGTGTTTGGCGTTATATTTGCACCAAGTACTAACAGAGCCAAATACCGCCTTTTGCCCAGTGATTCCGTGTCCCCCGATGCAGTGCCTCAGTTGTAATTAATTCTGAACCATTTCGAGAAGAACACTCTTCTGTGTAATGAATTGTCAGGATCCTATGGGAGGCCGGCGCACGTTAACCCGACTTTAATTAATACTTTGTCGGCGCGGAGCGTGAGAACCGACGTGGCCTTGTTTGCGAAGGAGCCATGTGCGTTCTGTCCCGCAGGTATACGGCGTGTAAAGCCTTCCTTTCCACCCTGAACGAAATGAACGATTACGCTGGGCAGCACGAAGTTATCTCCGAGAACATGACCTCACACATCACTGTGGAGTTAGCCCGCTACGTCCAGGAACTGAAGCAGGAGAGGAAATCGGTAACAAATATTTGTGGGTTTTTTTCCCAAGAGATGGACTGGGGATCACGGGAATATCCCTAAAAGCTTTCTAATTAAATACAGTTACATAAGGTGGTGGGTCTTGAACTGACACCTTTAAGAATCGCGTAAGGGGCTCCCGGGGGGCTCCGTCGGTTAAGCGTCGGACTTCGGTTCAGGGCATGATCTTGCGGTTTGTGGGTTCGAGCCCTGCATCGGGCTCTGTGCTGACAGCTCAGAGCCTGGAGCCTGTTTCAGATTCTGTGTCTCCCTCTCTCTCTGCCCTTCCCCTACTTAGACTCTGTCTCTCAAAAAAGTAAATGAATATTTTTCAAAATCCTATGAAAGTATGGACCCTGTTCTTAGAAGGTGTTTCTAGATCTTTACAAGGGTCCCTCAGACAGTGAACCTTATCTGAGGATCCCCAGGGTCCTAATCCTTTTGAGGAATTTAAATATATTTGAGGATATCAGACATAAAAAGAATAAGCAATAGAATATGCTGTGTGGAATAAATAGTAAGTTTTTTAATGTTTATTTTTATTTTTGAGAAAGAGAGAGCGAGCATGCATGCAAGCAGGGGAGGGGCAGAGAGAGAAATGGACAGAGGATCCAAACCGGGCTCTGTGCTGAGAGCCGAGAGCCTAACGCGGGGCTCAAACTCATGAACCGTGAGATCATGACCTGAGCCAAAGTCAGACGCTTAACCGACTGAGCCACCCAGGTGCCCCTGGAATAAACAGTATTAAAATAAACGCTTCTAAGTGTTCGAAAGAGTTAGAAAAATGACCTCAGCTCGATGTACTGCTTTTTAGCTTATCACTTAACTAGCAAACGGGGCCGTTTTTTCCCCTTCCTGCCCTCGTGATCATCTTTTCATAGCTTTTATTATTTAAAAAATTTTTAATGTTTTATTTGTTTTTGAGAGAGAGAGAGAGACAGCGTGAGCAGGAGAGGGTCAGAGAGAGAGGGAGATACAGAATCTGGAGCAGGCTCCAGGCTCTGAGCTGGCTGCCAACACAGACCCCGACGTGGGGCTCGAACCCACGAACCATGAGCTCATGACCTGAGCCGAAGTCAGATGCTCAACCGACTGAGCCCTCCATGCACCCCTCATGGCTTTTATTATTAGTGAAGGAGAAAAACGTACCGTCACAGAAAGTATATGCATCGCGAAGGTTTCATCCTAAAGGATTTATTTTATTTCTTTATTTGAAGTCTATTTATTTATTTTGAGAGAGACCGAGACAGGGCAAGTGGGGGAGGGGCAAAGAGACAGGGAGACGGAGAATCCCAAGCAGGCTCTGCGCCACAAGCATGGAGCCTGACGCAGGGCTCGAACCCACAAAACCACAGGATCATGACTGGAGCCGAAACCAAGAGTCGGATGCTTAACCGACCAAGCCACCCAGGCTCCCCTACAAGATTTATTTTTAAGCCGTGGTCTGTGTCGCTGGTCTTTGATCCCTTAGGAAGCGCATCATACTATGTTAGTAATAAGGCACTAAAGCTGGCCTGTAAAAACACACTTTCATTCACATTTGAGTCCACGACAATTCTTTCAGTGGTCTGGTATCGCTTGTGCCAACAGGGAAGATATCGTTCCTGCCGAAATGGAAGAGACGTTAAGTATTAATGCCCAAAATAATTATTTCATTGCAGTCGTGAGAGTGGCCACAAAGTACGAGTGCAGGTGCTCTGGGGGCAGAAGATAGGAATATGTCACATGCTCGGGCTCAGGATCAGGGAGACACTTCCCAGGGGCCCTTAGTTAACAGTTAACGCTCTGACAAGGCTCGACGTGTGAGGAGTTGCCTGGGACAAACGATAGAGGGAGCGCAGCCAGTGCAAAGGGCCTGCAGCAGGAAGGTATTTGGAACGTCTTAGGCGTTTACTTCTTTCTAAGCTATAAATAGGTGGCTCTGGGTGTGTTTAGAAGTTAGGAACAGATATATGCCTTAAGATCAACCCATTCATTAAAAAAAAATGTGTTCATCAACCGAGATGGAATTTTTTTTTTAATTTATATTTTACTCATTTCTGAGAGAGAGAGAGCGCATGAGCAAGCAGGGGAGGGTCAGAGAGAGAGGGAGATAAAGAATCTGAAACAGGCTCCAGGCTCTGAGCTGGCTGTCAGCACAGAGCCCGACGCAGGGCTCGAACCCACAAACTGTGAAATCATGACCTGAGCCGAAGTCGGATGCTCATCCGACTGAGCCACCCAGGTGCCCCCCAAGATGGGATTTTTATCTGCATTAGAGCGGTGGATCTCAACCAGGCACTGGTTTTCTCCCCAGCCACATTTGCCAGTATCTGGAGATAGTTCTAGTTGTCTGGGGGATTCGCTGGGAGGTGGGGGGGTAGGGGGTGTTGCCACTGGCCCCTGGTGGGTGGAGGCCAGACACGCTGTTCAACATCCTGTGAAGCACAGAGCACCCTCCGCAACGAAGAATGACCCGACCCCTAATGTCCGTCGTGCCCACACGGAGAAATCTTGCTAGGCAATGACAGCCTCTTCTGGACCGTTCATTAAAGATCATTTTCCGTGATGGGAAGGAAGCAGTGAATCAAAATACGAAGGTTCAGAAAGAAACGCAGTTGCCTAATAGGATCCTAAAGTCAGTGCAATCAGTCTGAACGTGAGGTCGGGCTGCTTCCCTGCGTGCTTGAACTTCCCCCAACCTTGCAGAGTTTAGACCCTCTTCCTGTTTGTTTCTTTGTTCAGTGCTTTGTGTCTCTGGACTGACCTTCACGCACCCACATAGTGTAGACATTTAGCCAACAGCCCAAACAAGAACCCTCTGCCTTTACCTTATAAATGCCGTTTCTGGAGTGGATCGTGAGATATGAGCCCACATGACCTGGCTTCCTGTTACTTTTTTTTTTTTTTAACAAAGTTTATTTGTTTTGAGAGAAAGGGAGAGAAAGAAAGACCGAGTGGGGGAGGGGCAGAGAGAGAGAGAGAGAGAGAGAGAATCCCAAGCAGGATCTGCACCCCGATGTGGGGCTTGAATTCATGACCTGAGCTGAAACCAAGAGTCGGATGCTTCACTGACTAAGCCCCCCCCCCCAGGTACCCCTCCTGCTACTTTTTTGAATTCTCCTCCAGCCACGCTGCTCCCTTTCTGCTCCTCATGCGTGCCCTGTGGGATCCTGCCTCAGGGCCTTTGCACTGGCCTTTTATTTCCTCGGAAAGCTTTGCCCCCAGATATCTGCAGAGCTCACCTGCTGGCTTCTTTCTCAGGAGTATCGTCTTCCCATTGAGGTCTGTCTTGTCCACCCCATTTACACTTACAGAGTCCCGCCCCTCCTTCCCCTCCTCGATGCCCCTACCTTCCCTGCTTTACTATTTTTCCATAGTGGTTGCCAGCATCTTACATTTTATGCATTTGTTTTCTTTCATCTCACACTAGAACGTAGGCTTCACGAGGGCAAGAATTTTCTCGGCTATCGTATCTATCTCTAGTCCCTGAAAGAGTGCCCCTTGGTAAATACCCCCAGGGTAGAAGAAATAATTAAGAAGTAGTGAGAGGCAGTCTTAGACTCACCTTTGTCCTCAGTTCGACTTGGTGTCACTGGTTGAGGATCCTTGCGTATCTTGGCTGTGTGACGATTGGGTCCTTTTATTTTGTTTACTTCCCGTTAATTACATGTCTTTTGTACAGCCCGTCATATCTGCAGTTTGAATTCCGTTCCTTTTTTTATCAGAAATTATAGTCATTTATGGGGTAAATTATAGGCGTCACGGATACACGTTAAATAAGATCTAACAATATGTACCGTTCCTTTTATTTTCAGGAGACTTAAGGCGCACATCTCTGAGTCAGATGTTCTGCTGGAAAGAAATACAAACACCATGCCTCTCTTGAGGCATTTGGCAATTATATTAAAATGACATTTGAGGAAGCTGGGAATCCTTTTATTTATTTAGTTTTTACTTGTTTATTTATTTTTGAAAGAGCGAGAGAGAGCAGGGGAGGGGCAGAGCAGGGCGGGAGCGGGGGTTACAGAGGATCCTGAGCAGGCTCCACGCTGACAGAGGAGAGCCCGATGCGGGGCTCGAACTCCAGAACCCAGAGATCGTGACCTGAGCCGAAATCAAGAGCTGGACGCTCAACCTGCTGAGCCGCCCAGGCGCCCCTTCCCCAACTCTTATTAGTGAGTGATCTTACTTATTTTTGAAAAGAGGACTCAAAAATACAGCAGAGGGGCGCCTGGGTGGCTTAGTCGGTTAAGCGTCCGACTTTCACTTAGGTCATGATCTCGCCGTTCGTGGGTTCGAGCCCCGCGTCGGGCTCTGTGCTGACTGCAAGCTCAGAGCCTGGAGCCTGTTTCAGTCTGTGACTCCCTCTCTCTCTGACCCTCCCCTGCTCACGCTGTCTTTCTCTCTCCTAGAAATAAATAAAACCTTAAAAAAAATTTTTTTTTAAATGTTTAAAAAAAAAAAACACAGCAGAATGGGATCTTTTCCACCTTCTGGTGGCGACAGCGATTGGCAGAAGGGCCGCCACGGAGCTGGGACTCAGATCCAGGTCCGCTGGTGTCACGCTTGGTGGCCCTGTCGCTGACAGCGTGCGTCAGATCTTCCTTCCAAGAGGGGAGAGCCAAATCCGACAGCATGTCCAGGGCTGCCTGGGAGGCTGTCAGGCCAGGACAGGCAAGGACACAGACGCTCCAGTCCACACACGGTCTCGGGGTTCGGGCAGCCCCACCGGCTGTGAAACCTCAGACAAGTTACAAAGCCTCTTCGAGCCTGCAGGTCCGAGTGGACCTTTCTAAACATGTTGACTTGGTGGATGGCCCCCAAAACAGGCTGCTTTCAAAATTTCAGGTCGAGCTGGTATTGCTCACAGCCGACCCGCAATAGCATCTTGCTTAAGTACCAGTCTCAACCATCAGTATAATACGTCTGGGCCGTTGATAAAGCGGCAGAAATCCTATCTGCCCAAAGGGATGATTTAGAATTTACAGGATTACCGCTGGATTCCATCACTGCTTATA